GAGTAAGTTTAAGGCTACTGTTAGTTTAATTTTAGTGTTAAGGTTGGAGTTAGCCTCTTGGTCAGGTTAGGATCGAAGTAAAGGTTAAGGTATAAGACTAGGGTTAGGGTTAGAGTTTAAGGATAGTGTTAGGGTTAGAGTTTAAGGATAGTGTTAGGGTTAGAGTTTAAGGATAGTGTTAGGGTTAGAGTTTAAGGATAGTGTTAGGGTTAGAGTTTAAGGATAGTGCTAGGTTTAGTGTTACAGTTGGAGTTAGCATCAGGGTCAAGTTAGTGTTGGGGTTAAGGTTATGGTGTATGTTTAGGGTTAGTGTTAGGTCTCTTGTTTAAGTTAGCCTTATGGTTATGTTAGATTTAGAGTTAGGGTTCGGGAGTAAGTTTAGGGCTACAGTTAGATTTAGGTTTAGTGTTAGAGTTTTAGTAAAGTCAGGGTTAGTTTAGGGTTGGGTTTAGGGTTAAGGTGTAGGACTAGGGTTAGGGTTAGGTCTATTGTGTGATTTAGGCTTCAAGTTAGGTTAGGTTTTAACTTAGTTTTAGGGAGTACGTTTAGGGCTACTGTTAGATTTAGGTTTAGTGTTACAGTTGGGGTTAGTGTCAGGGTCCGCTTAGGGTTGGGGTTAAGGTTAAGGTGTATGACTGGGGTTACAGTTAGTTTTATTGTTGAAGTAATGCTTATGGTTAGGTTAGATTTAGAGTGAGGGTTCGGGAGTAAGTTTAGGGCTACAGTTAGATTTAGGTTTAGTGTTACAGTTGGAGTTAGCATCAGGGTCAGATTAGTGTTGGGGTTAAGGTTATGGTGTACAACTACGGTTAGGGTTTGGTCTCTTGTTTAAGTTAGGCTTATGGTTAGGTTCGATTTAGTGAGGGTTTGGGAATAATTTTAGGGCTACAGTTAGATTTAGGTTGAGTGTTAGTGTTTGAGTTAGAGTCAGGGTTAGTTTAGGGTTGGGTTTAGGGTTAAGGTGTAGGACTAGGGTTCGGTTTAGGTCTATTTTTTGATTTAGGCTTCAAGTTAGGTTAGGTTTGAACTTAGTTTTAGGGAGTACGTTCAGGGCTACTCTTAGTTTATATTTTAGTGTTATGGTTGGAGTTAGCATCAGGGTCAGGTTAGGGTTGGGGTTAAGTTTAAGGTGTACGACTAGGGTTATGGTTAGGTCTGTTGTTGAAGTTAGTCTTATGGTTAGGTTATTTTTAGAGTGAGGTTTCGGGAGTAAGCTTAGGGCTACAGTTAGATTTAGGTGTAGTGTTACATTTTGAGTTAGAGTCAGGGTTAGTTTAGGGTTGGGTTTAGAGTTAAGGTGTAGGACTAGGGTTAGGGTTAGGTTTATTTTTTAATTTAGGCTTTAGGTTAGGTTAGGCTTAGACTTCGTTTTAGGGAGTAAGTTTAGGGCTACTGTTGGTTTTAGGTTTAGTGTTACGATTGCAGTTAGTGTCAGGGTCAGGTTAGGGTTGGGGTTAAGGTTAAGGTGTTCGACTGGGGTTACGGTTAGGTCTGTTGTTGAAGTTAGGTTTATGGTTAGGTTATATTTAGAGTGAGGGTTCGGGAGTAAGTTTAGGGTTACAGTTAGATTTAGGTTCAGTGTTAGGGTTTGAGTTAGAGTCAGAGTTAGTTTATGGTTGTGTTTAGGGTTAAGGTGTTGGAATAGGGTTAGGGTTAGGTCTATTGTTTGATTTAGGCTTCACGTTTGGTTAGGTTTGAACTTAGTTTTAGGTAGTAAGTTTAGGGTTACTGTTAGTTTTAGGTTTAGTGTTTCAGTTGGAGTTAGCATCAGGGTCCGGCTAGGGTTGGGGTTAAGTTTAAGGTGTATGACTAAGGTTTGGGTTAGGTCTATTGTTCAAGTTAGGCTTATGGTTAGGTTAGATTTAGAGTGAGGTTTAGGGAGTTAGTTTAGGGCTACTATTAGATTTAGGTTTAGTGTTAGGGTTTTAGTTAGAGTCAGGGTTTGTTAAGTGTTGGGTTTAGTGTTAAGGTGTAAGACTTAGGTTAGTGTTAGGTCCATTGTTTGATTTAGGCTCAAGGTTAGGGTAGGTTAGGACTTCGTTTTAGGGAGTAAGTTTAGGGCTACTGGTAGTTTTATGTTTAGTGTTACTGTTTGAGTTAAGTTCAGGTTAGGGTTGTGATTAGGGTCAAGGTAAAAGACTAGTGTTAGGTTTAGGTCTACTGTTTAAATTAGGTGTATGGTAGGTTAGTTTTAGAGTTAGAGTTAGGGAGTAAGCTTAAGGATAATGTTAGATTTAGGTTTACTGTTCGGGTTTGAGTTAGAGTCAGGCTTAGTTTAGGGTTGGGCTTAGGGTTAAGGTGTAGGACTAGGGTTAGGGTTAGGTTTACTGTTTGAGTTAGGCTTATCGTTAAGTTATGTTTGGACCTAGGGTTAGAGAGAATATTTAGGGCTACTGTTAGATTTAGGTTTAGTATTAGTGTTTGAGTTAGAGTCAGGATTATCTTAGGGTTTCTATTAGGGTTCAGGTGTAGCACTAGGTTTAGGGCTAGGTTTATTGTTTGAGTTCGGCTTATGGTTTGGTTCCATTAGGAGTAGGTTTAGGGAGTACGTTTAGGGCTACTGTTAGATTTAGGTTTAGTGTTAGGGTTTGAATTAGAGTCAGGGTTAGTTTAGGGTTGGGTTTAGGGTTAAGGTGTAGGACTAGGGTTAGGGTTAGGTCTATTTGATTTAGGCTTAAGGTTAGGTTAGGTTTGAACTTAGTTTTAGGGAGTAAGTTTAGGGCTACTGTTAGTTTTAGGTTTAGTGTTATGGTTGGAGTTAGCCTCAGGGTCCGCTTAAGGTTGGGGTTAAGGTTAAGGTGTACGACTAGGGTTAGAGTTAGGTCTATTGTTTAAGTTAGGCTTATGGTTAGGTTAGATTTAGAATGAGGTTTAGGGAGTAATTTTAGCACTAATGTTAGATTTAGGTTTAGTGTTACGGTTTTAGTTAGAGTCCGGGTTAGTTTAGGGTTGGGTTTAGGGTTAAGGTGTAGGACTAAGGTTAGGGTTAGGTCTATTTTTTGATTTAGGCTTCTGGTTAGGTTAGGTTTGAACTTCGTTTTAGGGAGTAAGTTTAGGGCTACTGGTAGTTTTAGGTTTAGTGTTAACTGTTTGAGTTCATGTTAGGATCAGGTTAGGGTTGTGGTTAAGGTCAACGTGAAAGACAAGTGTTAGTGTTAGTTCTACTGTTTAAATTAGGCATATGGTAGGTTAGGTTTAGAGTTAGGATTAGGGAGTAAGCTTAAGGATAATGTTAGATTTTGGTTTACAGTTAGGGTTTGAGTTATAGTCAGGCTTAGTTTAGGGTTGGGCTTAGGTTAAGGTGTAGGACTAGGGTTAGGGTTAGGTTTACTCTTTGAGTTAGGCTTATCGTTAGGTTATGATTGGAACTAGGGTTAGAGTGTAAGTTTAGGACTACTATTGGATCTAGGTTTAGTGTTAGGGTTTGAGTTAGAGTCAGGGTTAGCTTAGGATTTGAATTAGGGTTCAGGTATAGCACTAGGGTTAGGGTTAGGGTTAGATCTATTGTTTGAGTTAGGCTTATGGTTTGGTTATGTTTGCAATTAGGTTTAGGGAGTAAGGTTATGGTTACTGTTAGATTTAAGTTTAGTGTTAGGGTTAGGGTTATGATTAAGGGATAGTGTTTGGGTTAGGTTTAGAGTTTAAGGATAGTGCTAGGGTTTGGGATAGGGTTTGAGTTTAGGGATAGTGTTAGGTTTGGACCTAGTTTTAGGGAGTAAGTTTAGGGCTACTGTTAGTTTTAGGTTTAATGTTACGGTTGGAGTTAGCGTCAGGGTCAGATTAGGGCTGGGGTTAAAGTTAAGTTGTGGGCTAGGTTTAGGGTTAGGTCTATTGTTTAAGTTCCAGGGTCAGATTAGGGTTGGGGTTAAAGTTAAGGTGTGGGACTAGGTTTAGGGTTAGGTCTATTGTTTAAGTTTGGCTTATGGTTAGGTTAGATTTAGAATTAGGGTTAGGGAGTAAGTTTGAGTTAGAATCAGGGTTAGTTTAGGATTTTGATTCGATTTCAGGAAATGGTTTGAGCTTCTAAGCCATTTGGAATGGGTGACATGGCCCCCATTGGCTGGGTGGCATGGCCATTCGGGTTTGAATTCTGCTTGTTCCCATCCTCTCCCACACTGCCTCAGCCAATTTAGTCCCTCCCCCCAGGAACTACCGTCCCCAGTGCTCTACTCTCTTGTGCCTTTGTGGTCTGCATTCCTATTTCCCCCATGTCCCTGGCTCCACAAAGCTGCACCAACTCTGTCTTCCCATGTTCCAAAAGGAACTCTCTCCCTTCTCCCTGTGCAAACATTGTCTCCCTTTAGGTGGCCCTTAGGAGACAAGAAGGCTGAAATCTGAATTTGCTAGGACTGATAGAGTAATGTAATTACAGTCTAAGGACCCTTCCCCTAAGAAATGTAATGGCCTCTTTGAATTGCAGTTACAAATTTGATTCCATGGTTTGGGGGTTTTTGAAGCTTAGACACTATCTCAAGCACTCTCTTAACAGGCAGCAAATCGAGTTGCTCTGGCTGAGTGTCCCTCGCCCTTTCAGTTGACTTATTAATCCCTATATGGTTTTTTGGGGATGATGGTTGTAAACAGTAACATAAACCATAACCATTACCTTCTTTATTCTAAAAGGAAATGGGCCCAGTTGAGGGAAGTGATGTGTCAAAGTTCTCAGGGCTGGACGGTGGCAAAGCTAGGACTTGTCCCCAGGCCCCCTGTGCTAGCCTCGTGCTCCTATCCCCAGCCTCAGGATAGCTGCATCCCTCTGCTGTCAGAACTCAACCCTGTGGCTGGCTCCTGCAAGCACGGCCATCCCCAGCTTGTCATCCTGGCACCCCCTCCCTTCCCTTGTGCCTTTCATCCCCAGAGGTGGGCAGGGTGGCTGGGATCTTTGCCCTGCTTCGTGCTGTTAGTCACCTCTTTCCCAATGCTGTTGATTTTTTCCCTGTCAGTCTTTGCAACCCAATTACTGTTGAGAAGAAATGCAACAAGGCAGACTCACTGCAGTTTTACTCATTGCGCATTTTCATCTTTAATTAAATAAATCAAGTAAGCCATCAGGGATGGGTTCACATTGTATTCGGCAAAGCAGACTGCCTGCCAGCGCTGCCAGCTCTTTGAAGGGCAGCCCCTGCGTCTCCAGGAAACAGCAGATTATCTGTGGCCACAGCAAGGACATCTGGGATGACTACGGCAGCTAGGGGGCTGGGAGAAATGTGAGACGGTGCCAGAGGCTGGGCAGAATGAGCCACACGCTGTGCTGCACACGCGTGGATACATACGTACATGCCATGGCCACATATGCCGCAAGGGGTAGCCTGTACGTGTGGCCATGCAACATGACACAGGGCTGAGGGCTTGGCAAAAGATGGTCTGTAGGATCGAGGATGGAGCAGGGAGCAGGCAATATGCCTCAGTACACTAAGGAGCTGGAGACCTCGGGGGAGCCCCGGCCAAGCCCAGTGTTAGGGGAAGTGGGCCGGTTGGGTTGTCTTAGTCCCCAGTAAAGTGCCTGGGAGGACACAAGCTCCACCACCAGGATGGCGCCGTCTGCATCCTGGGGGAGGATGAATTCGTCCCCACAGTCATCGGGTGCAGGACGACACAAGATCAAAGGATCTTGAAGCACTTAAGACGTTTGAAGTTGCCAGTTCTGCTTCATGCTTTTGAGGTAAAGGACGGCTTCCACTATTTCTGCAACTGGGCAGCTGACAGGTGATGCGGCTGACCTCAGCGAACCCTGGTCTTCTCCCCATCCTGGTTGGGCCACCCATGTCCTAAGAATCTTCACTAGCAAAACCAGCTCGAGGCCCCTGGATTTGAGCAGATGTTCCTTCTTCCAGTTTGTCCAGATCAAGAGACCTGCTTGGCCTCTGTAGGTACCTGCTGCTCCGACTCCTCCCCGCCCTGTCTCCCCTGAGCTCTCCCAGCCCCTGGAACCATCCGTTTGGGACTTGCCTTCACCTTCGGCCTTTAGGAATGAGGATGGGAGACTCAGCCATCCAGCCTTCTCTCCTGGCTTTCAAAGCGCCGGGCTTAGCAAGGGCGAGCCCCAGCATGGGAGTCACTCAGGGCCAGAAGATACCTTTAAGGCCAGGATCAGACCCTTTAATGCTTCTATCTCCTCCGTCCCATGCAGGCCAGTTCACCCTCCGGGACGGGATTCCATGACCTCCTGCTGGAGGGGCTGCATCATCCGCCACTGCGATGGCACCCTCTGTTCTTCGGGGTTCGGTCAGCAGCAGTCCCTACACTAGCCTCTGGCAGCAGGTCCCAGGCCGAGGGTGCTGGCAGCCAGGGAGTAACCTCTTCATTCAATGTTTCTGTCCTGTTCTGTTCTTTTCACGCGTGTGCATCACAGAGAGGACAAGTTAGATTTGCTGTGTCCCTCAGCCTTCGTAGGTCAACTAGTGATCACCTGCGGGGGGGATGCTATACAGTTGCACGTTTGGGCTTCTTTTTCCCTCTCTGCAGGGACTCACAACCTGCCCCCCACTGACTACTCCTGCAGGGACTCAGGACCTACCCTCTACTGACTACTCCCAAGGACCCCCATTGCCCTCCTCCAACCCACAGTAAACCCATAGTTGACTAACGAGGTCCAGAGGGGAAGCCAGGAATGGGTAGCAGGGGCGACAGTCTGCGGGTGTTGGACACTACCCTGGCTTACCGAGGCCTGGAATGTTCTAAATTGTTTGTATAGGCTGTGCTAAAGAAGGCTCATCAAGAAGGAAAACAAGTAAACACACTGCTGAATGGGCCTCTGTGCTGGGGAAGTGGGCCGATGGAGAGCCTCAACCACTCCCTGCGTCTCCATGCAGGGGAGCCCTGTGGAGGGGAGCAGCTGGAACAGAGGAAAGGCCAGGGCTGGCCTCACTGGGAAGGGAGGCACTGCCCCACCCCAGACCACCTTCTCCATCCTGGCTCCACACCGAAAACCCCAATTGCATGACTCTGACCACATCCATGGGGTGTAAAGCCAGCAGCTACCCCAACCCTGTTCTTCTCAAATCCTGGGGGGATCCCAGGGGTAACACCACCCCACTTGAATAGTTCCCATCTCAGACATGGGCAAAGGCAATACAGCAGAAAGGACCCTAACGTTACATCTTCAAGTCTTCAAATCATTGCCCTTGACCCGTTGCCTTACTCCCCACATAACCCCTGCTTCCAAATCATCTTAAAAGGTAATTAAAGGCTCCTCTTCCGGTGCGTGATACAGACAAACTCTGTGAGAGAAACCGAGGACTCTCCTTAAACAATGTCCTGGGGCCATCGGGGTGCTGGTTTCTGCTCTCTGGTATGCTGGATCATCCGCAGGTGTCCCGTGTGTAAGGCGCACGTGAGCAGTTATTATTATTATTGTCTTTCTTGATTTGGGTACAGCTTTGAGTCCCTGCAAATAAAATGGTATTTTCTGTCTCTTCTTTTCACAAAATAAATAAATTACATCATTGTGCAGCGTGCACATTGTCAATGTCCTGAGAAGTCCCAAAACTCCACTCTTGGTACCATCCTCAGAGAGATGGAGGCCTTGGCCCCAGAGGCATACGAAGGAGGAGAAGTCTGTTGTCTGCACTAGGAGGGCCCCTAGGAAGAGCCCCCCCACATCCTGAGGTGGGGAACAGAGAAGGATCAGGGCAGGGGCTGGGTAGGTCCGCCAGCACTTCTGGACCTGCCAGAAACATTCTGGTCCCACTCTGTGCCACCATGAGGTTTTCAGATCTGACACCCCTTTGCATCCCAAACTAGAGCCAGATCCCTGCGCAACTTAGCCTTGCACTGTAAGCCCTGGAGCGGACCGAAGTGCCTGGTGAGAGACCTGGCGGCTCCTGCACGCTGGTTATGACAAATCCCACAAGACAGCTACCGTCATCGCCTTTCCAAACAGCGACTTCCTGCAGGACTCAGATGTGGCACTTCTCTGGTGTTGAAATTAACCCAAAACTCAGCCCTCTGGGTTTGACAACGGGACATATCTGACACAGAGGTTGTCCAGGAAATCAGAAGTAGAGCTGGGAGCCCTCAGTGAACTGCCGCACCTCCCTGTGAGCTCCTGGGCAGTACTGAGTTCTGCTCCTGGGTGTGGGGTGAGAGTAGGGGCAAGCACTGCTTGGTCAGAAGGCCCCTCGCACCCCAGAAACACGTCAAGGCTTGGAAGGGATTTTGAAATCTAGCCTCTTCTCAGGGAGAGGGTGAGGGCTGCTAATTTGTGCTGCTTCTGGTAGTTTCTGAGAGTCATTCTACATGGGGTTAAACAGAAAAGACAGTGGGGTGCTGTGGGCTGCCACATGGCCAAGTAGGCTTCAGATCCTTCTGGAAGAAGGCTCCTCCTTCTGTCCTGTCCCTGCGCCAGGAGCCAAGTGCCCCCTGCTGGTTTCTCAGTCTCCCTCAGGCCCTCAAAACCAGTCAGCTTCCCAGAGGCACTCCAGCAGAAACAAAACCCCAAACAACCACAACACAAGGACACTAAGCCATAAATAACTTAAAGCCCCAAATAAAGCACCCAGCCCATCCTGAGTTGAGCAATACTCTTCCCAGAGCCTAAAGGGGGAATTTGAGACTCTAGTTGTAACCATGGCAACTGGTTGGCTGACCTCTGTCCTGGAGGGAGAAGGCAGGCTTCTCAGGGGAGGGGTGGACCGATGTGACTTCTCCCCCAGGAGCACTGCACTCTCTTCTTGGCCCTGCCCCAGAGGACCGGAGCCCAGCAGCTGCCTTTTGCCTCTGGGACCAAAGCCGTTTCTGCCAGGCAGACCCCAGGTGGCTTTCACATAGAGAGCCAGTGAGCTGGATGAAAATTCAAGGCCGCAGTCTCATGGGGGTAACACCCCACTTCAAAACATCCTGCGACCAGCCATCAGGCAGTGGATGTGCCAGGAAGGGAGCCACGAGAATCCAAATGCAGGGGCTGCAGACCCAGGCAGCTCTGAATCCACTGTTCAGCCCCAAACCCATCAAGGAACTGAGCACGGTCCTTGACCCTTTTTCTTACTCCCCACAGACCCTCTGCTTCCAAATAATCCCAAAATGTAATTAAAGGCTCCTCTGTAGGTGGGTGATCCAGATAAACCCTGCAGGAATAAAGCAACGGGAAGTTCATAGATATTTGTGAGGGTGTGTGTGTGTGTGTGCGGTGTGTGCAAGTGTGTCTTTATATGTGTGTGTGTGCTACAGCTCTACCCAGGGCTGACATTCACTAGTGACCAGCATAGCTATCCCATTTGTTGAAATACTGACTCATTCTGTACTGTCATCTGCAGAACCTCAAATGTCACTCCGACACCCTGGATTGTCTGGGCCTTTTTCCAAGGATCAACCCAGGATCCAGCCTTGGGAATGCAGGAACTAAAAGACTCACACTGAGTAAGGAAAGCAGGAGGTCCCACTGACGGTCAGTGTCTAAGTCCCTTCTGGTCTTTAAACATGTGGCCTCCCACAGGCTCTCCGAGCATTAATGTGTGTTTCATGTATGTTTCTGTGTGTGTGAGAGAGAGACAGGGAGAGGTTTATCAATAGACCCGAGCCTGCCTGGGCCCTCTCAGGAGCCCCAGGCTCTCAGAGGTCTGGTTGCGACACCCCTCAAGGGGTCGGGGCACCGCCCTGTTCTCAGGGAGAAACCCCGGCTGCAGCGGCGGGGAAGCTAGCTGGCTGGGGGCGCCTACTGCTACAGCGAGGGGTGCCTGCTCCGGGCACAGCTTCCACGGCCCTCTGCCAGGGCCGCCTCCCACCGCTGGCCTGGGTGTGAGAAAGGCAGGGCAGGCCTTTCACGAGGAGGGGCAGGCGGGACTCCAGGCACCCTACGTGACCCAGAAGGTGCCCCGTTCCTCCAGCAAGCTGACCGAGCGGTTGGTGAGGGCGGCGGCATCCCGTGCCAATTTGTAGCCGAAGAGCTGCATGGCGGGACCACAGGCGGCCTGCACCACCTGCGCCAGCTTGAAGGGCATGCTGAAGCGCCACTTCTCGAACTGCTCCGAGGAGTTCTTCTGTGTGGAGTAGATGCCGCTGCCGTCGCGCACCGCCTGTGTATTCTTCTGGATCCAGTCCTCCACCTGCGGGGTCAGGGGGATGCCGGCGAAGCGGTACATCTCGCGCGCCTTCTGCAGCGGCCTGCGCGCCACGTCCTCATAGCGCACCAGCATGTAGCGGCCCCGCAGCCAGGAGGGCTGGCGCAGGCCCAGCTCGGCCGACAGGCGGATGCTCTCGCAGTTGCCCCGCAGCCGCTGCACCTCCTCCTCTCTGAGCCGGGCCTGCCCCTCAGCCAGCCACCTCCTAAAAAAAACTCGTACTTGCCTGCGAAGGCCACCATGCGGGAGGCCAGCACGGCCCGGGGATCGCGCACCAGCTGGATGACGCGCAGGTCCAGCCGCGGGTCCTCTGCCAGCGGCTGCAGGAACTCCAGCTGCCGGATGCGGACGGCCTTGAGAGCCATGTGCTCCTTGCGGCGACAGGCCTCGGCCGCCAGGGTCACGTTGAGGGGGCCGCAGCGGCGGGGTTTGGGGCGGGGACTCTCGGAGACCTTCTTGACGAAAGGCGTGCAGACAGGGTCCGCTGGAGCCGCGGCGGAACATGAACTGGGTCAGGTGGTCCTCCGGCAGCGGGCTGATGAAGTGCTCCAGGACGTACAGATCACACAGGAAGAGCTGCTTGAGCACGTCGCGGTAGACCAGGGCTGAGCCCGCGGCGTTGGCGCCTCCCGGCTGGAAGGACACGGTGCGCTCGATGTGCCACAGCGGCTCGAAGAGGTAGAAGATGTTGCCCTGCTGGTTGAAGAACTCACCCACGAAGGAAGAGCCAGTGCGGGTGGTAGCCATGAGGAGCACGTGGCGCCGAGGTCCGGAGGAGGCAGGTCCGGGCGGCTCCCTTTCCTCCTCCTCCCTCTCCCACTCCTCTCCTGTGGACTCCGCCCCTGGCTCCACACCCAGCTGCAGGCTGAGATTCCGCAGGCGGCTCTGTAGTTGGGAGAACGCTGAATCCAGCTCGCTGAGGGACAGGAGGGATGCGTTCTCGGCCAGGACCAGGGCCGGATCCGTGCCGTTTGCATCTGTCAGAGATTGGGGGATCTGCTTCAACTTGTCGGAGACCCTGTTGGGGACAAGGGGAAACCAGGGTTAGTGACTGTCTGAGTCCCTGTCCCTTGTGCCTAAGCAGTTCCCGGATCTGATCACTCAAAGCCTGTACCAGTTGAGTTTTTCCAGAAGCAGACTTTGAGGCAAGGATTTGAGTGTAAGTAGTTCATTTGGGACATGACCAAAGGAGGGAAGTGAGGCAGGGAGAAAAGGTCCGTGAAGGGGACAAGCAGCAGATGATGTAATGGTTATTGCTGGACTCCTATGTAGTCAACTGCAGTTCAAGTCCTGAACCCAGCCCGCTTAAAACGCATGCTAGGGGCTAGGTGCTAGGTACGTGTGCGTGCACGCCCAAAATCCTGAGAGGAGAATTGTGGCATGGGCATCCCCCCAGGGAGGTCATTTCTTGGTTTGAGTACCAGACCCGGTGGCTTAAACTCACGCCGGGCACATGTGCGTGCGTGCCCAAGATCCCAAGAAGAGAATGGAGAAGGGATTGCAGCATGGCCATCCCTCCTGGGGGGTGATTTCTCGCTTTCTGTCTCTCTGTCTCTCTCTGTCTTTCTGGCGAGCTCACACGCCCTATAGCAAAAACTTCTCCAAAAAAAAAAGAAAAAAGAAGTCCATGAAGAATGTGCTGTCATGGAGTGGGCTGCCCCTGTGAGCACGTGAAGCTCAGCCAACTGGGGACCTCTGAGAGCTGTTATTTCCTTGTACTTCTGGCTTGCCAGTGCTCAGGCAGGGAGAAAGCTCTCAGGTGCAGCATTGCAGGCCTTGCAGCAGGACCCAGTAGGCAGGAATTACAACAGTCTATGCCGAGGGATCCAGTGGAGCGAGTGCCTGCTGCATAGCCAATCCCTCACCCACTCATGTGGCTGATGCTTTCTTCTAGGGCTGTGCCCTGGGAGAAAAACAGACCTCAGAAACCTTTGTCTAGCAGGCCCACTGGACGCAGCAGTACACTTCCAACTCAAGGGAGAAGAAAGGTATTTCTCTTTTTTTTTGGGGGGGGGATTTTTGCTATAGGGCACGTGCACTCGCCAGAAAGAGAGAGACAGAGAGACAGAAAGCGAGAAATCATCCCCCAGGGGGGATGGCCACGCCACAATCCCTTCTCCTCCCTTCTCCTCCCAGGATCTTGGGTACACACACACATGTGCCTGATGTGAGTTTAAGCCACCGGGTCTGGGACTTGAACTGTGGTCGACTACATGAGAGTCCAGTGACATAGCCATTATGTCAACTGCTGGTCCCGAGGAAAAGTATTTCTAGAATAGCCTTTTGAGAGACAGTCTCCTGGACTCGAGTAGTCCCCAGCCTGGGCTTCTGCACATGGCACCTCTGAC